AAGCCAGACTGATGGTTTTTATTACTCATCGATAATCTGGTCCTTCTCCCATCAAATCTATTCGGGGAAAGAAGGGAAGTTCAGAAGAAGCTTTTTAGCTGATTGGGTGAACCTTGTGCCTGCCTACCAACGTTTGATTTTAGGTAACCACCTTAACAAATGAAATTGCAGCAGACAGCATGAGGAAAACTTAACAACGTATACTGTTATGCTCTTGCAGCTATGTATATGTCCTCCTGCGCTTCCATGTTATTTTTTTGGTTTTGCCATGAGCTCGGTGGCTTTTGCTTACATTGAAGCTAAAGTCCCGCCTTAAATCATAATGCCACAACATGGTTGGACGAACCACATTGGGTCGATCTCAAACGGCTTAAGCGAGAGCGATACCAGATGGATTCTTGTGTGTTTTCTGAACACATAAATGCTTGTTTTTGGTAAAAAAAAATGTGCGGCTTTTTTTTTTTTTTTTTTTTGAGTTTTTACGGCACTAGTGGCTCGTCTTTATGGACAGTAAGCTGACAGGAAAGGGGGTATGAAAGAGGTGGACAGACATGCGGGAAAGGACCACAGGCCGGATTCGAACCTGGGTCGCCCGCGTTGAGGACTAAAGTGATGGTTATACTCCCCACAGCAGTGTGTCGCAGTGAGCTTGACGCAGTCATACAAACAAAACAAGCCGGGAAGCAGACGTAGATTTTACCAATTTCAATTTCACCTACAATTTGGGAGAGGTGCAGCAGAGTTTCTGTGGAGGGGGCAGGGACGTCTTTGCGTTCACTGCGACACCTACGCAGACCTAGTTTCAACCTAGTTTCGAAGTATGAATCAGCCTTAAGGCCTCTGTACATGGGTCGTGTGCGTTAACCACTGCGCCACCAAAGAGCCACCATTTTTATTGTTTGCCGTGAGACATTATTTTTTACAAGCACGTTAGGCCCTATGATTTCCACGATGCAGAAAACACGTACAGAATTGCAAAATTAAGCAAATAAAATAGAATCTAGTTCAAAACTCGGGATCTCACAGGATTCAGCTATGGGGACATATAGTAGTCTGTGAGGTATTTTACCAACTAGTAACTCCTGCGTCTGCTGTTACCTGGTGAAACGAGGTGGGCTCAGTCAGCCATGGGTACAAGGCACGCAGAAACACAAAAATCATCCAAGAAATTAGAAATAAAAAAAATGTGAAACAAAGTTTTGGGCAGAACAATTCTTCAGCAATTTTTAAGAATCTGGAGAGCAGCTTTTCTGCAAGTTTTGTTGTGTAAGAATACAAATAATAACCACTTAGAGTCAGAATCACATCAGAAACAGGAAAAGAAGCTAGCTAGCATTCAACTACATCAGTGCAAGCCAGGTGTGAGCCTATTTTGGACAGGTGTTTTTGTATTTAGAAATAAGACTGTATTGCTTTGCATACCTCTGACAGTTGGATGAAATAAAAATAAGCATGCATCCAATTTAATTTTCATGTGTGGACAACATGTTAGTTTATAGGTTTTATGTTTCTTTATGAGACATTTATATGTTCAACTCTAAAGCACTTTTACACAAAATACCTTTTTTAATGTGAGATTATATGTTTCACACATAAATAATATGTTTTGTTGTATGAAATAGGTTTGAAAAAATACTTTTAAACACCTTGCAAAATAATTTAATGTTCAGCTGAACCACAACAATTTGTTTTTGTTGTAAAATTGAAACAACAGTCATTAAATTTTTAATAGCTATTTATTTGTCAAATATTTTTCAAGCACTTTATAATTATGTAATTTTGAGAAAAGAAAAATCAAAATAAAGTGGATTTTTTGTAAAAATAAAATGGATTCTCCTAAGCATGTTTCACAGCTTAATTGTCGTGGTCCTTTAAATTGAGGTCACGTCCAAGAGGGGATGATTGAAATAACAGCTAGGTGTTGAGTGTTTTTTTAAACCAAACTTAAGGGAGAAAAAAAATCAATTAAATCAGATTTGGTTGGAAAAAAATAGAGATTAGATTTTAAAGCTTCCAGCCCTGCCCTGATTTAAGCTGTTCTTGGGATGGGTCCTGGTTCTTTGGCAGTAAACACTCTCTAAACTGATTAAAGTACAGTCATTAAGTTACATCTAGTTAAAGTACTTTGAGGAGTGCGATTGATACTGACTCAGCATAACTGCAGCCAAACAATAATATTAAAGCTTTAATTGTTTCATAGTGGTAAGTTTTCAAATTTATTTTTGAAACACATAAACAGAACATACCGGTTAGATTTCCATCAGAATAAACAACACATTTAACCTCCTGTTGTGGAAGAAAACCTTCTCCAAGCCACCTCATGACTCAAGGGGCCCTCGTCACTGATGATGTGCGGTTTTTGGCTGGCGTGCCACCTCGGGGGCCAAGCACTAAATCAATGATGGTGCTGTCCATTTGCTGCACTCTGTTCCAAATCAGTCGGAGTCCATCTTTATGCTGAAATCCTTGCTGAGATTCACTGTTATGCAAGGGGTTACATTTGTGGATTAGCACTTCATTTTCAAGGGTAGACATCAAGAATCCAGAAGCATTTATAGGTCACAAAACCCAGGTTGCCATATTTGTTATACTTAGAAGGATTTTTGAATCATTTGTATCTTTCAGTATGTTTAGTTTTAGATCGACGCCTTTATATAAAAAGCTGTGCAGAGAAATACACCTAAAATGTATTACATATCCAGATTTGCATTTAAATGTATATTTTATTGCATAGGTTGAAGGTTATCTGTCTTAATTGAGAAAGAAGGGTACAAAAGTTCATGTAGTATTAGTCTGTGTTCTTTGTTTCTCATCCTCAGCACAGCCTGATGGAAACGAATGTGTGCGTTGCTGCCTCAGTGTGTGTCAGTCTGACTGTTGCATAAGAGGATCTGCTGCTGTCCCAGAGCTTAACCAGGGATTTAAGCCTCTCTTTCTCACATTCTCCTGCACTCTCTCTCCTATCTGAGTCGTCTGCCCCGTTAGCGCTCTGTTACACTTGCTAATCTCTGTTCGCATGTAGGTTATATGTAAATTGCGTGCTTGTTTTTTCCATTTGTGAACACAGATAGTCTGTTAACACTCGATATTTTGAGTTTCTTTGATCCCACCGATGCACCGCAAGAGATTTGGGCGCAGCTGTCTTTTCATGTCGCTACATTTTATTGCTGTTGGTAAAATATAAAAAAAGATTTGTTTATAACCTCATTTGATATATGTGTGTATTTATATAGCAGCCCATGTAAAGCAGACTTTGGCTTTTATTTTAGAACAAAGAAAACAAGTAAAAATATTAACATATAAACATTCTTAACAAAACATAGTAATTACCTTAAAGGCATTTTTTTTTAAGATTATTTGTAGGGTTTGTTTTCTGGAATATGATCAGTATTAGCAAACCATATCTTTCGGTCTGTGGTAGGATAGCAGCCTATCAGTGAGACACACAACACCACATTTTGGAAGATTAAACGTTTCTAGTTTTAATAGCGCAGTTAAAGTTGTTGCTATATATTTAGCTGTCTCTTATTAGGCCAAGTTACCTTGAATGAATCTGCTGACTCATCAGCCAGCTATTAGACCCCCAAGATTAGAGTAAACCTTTGGATTTTGCATCAGGCTGTCAGCTCCACAGAAGTGAGATATTCCTATACTTTTCTTGGTATTGTAATTATTTGTAAATTATCCAGATAATCTGCAATTGTCATAAGGACTGATATACTCCATGGAACAAAGAACTTAGAAACATCCAAACTATGTCATTGCTATTTCTGAAAGGTCATCATTAGTTCCAAATTCAGCATGATTGTAAAGAGAGACGCTGAAAGACAAAAAAATCAACCAGAGCAGCTTTTCTGTGGTTCATTCAGCCTTCCTGTTATCTACTAAAGTCTGTCTCTCTCTTTAAATAAGAGCCTGGGTCAGCAGCAGAAATCTGTCAGCACTTTCTCTGACTTATTGGTTCAACGCCTCAAAAATAGCCAACTTTTAGTGTTCATCCCTTTTTTGCAACATCCACTCTGAAGAGTGTTATTCAAACAACCAACCAATTGTGAAGTTTGCTGCACTCTGTTTGCAGCAAACTTCTTTTTTTGCAAGGTTTGATAGAAGAAAGGTGCAACCAACTGCTCCCTTTTTATGGCAGCTTGCAGTGTAAAGAAAAAGTTACTCCATACAGGTTATTGATTTTTGTTTAACTTTCTAATGTCTTGGTAAGAATCTGATGCTCCATCTTCCGCTATATAATTTTATTGCGAAACAAAGAGTCAATAAGGAGCTGTTCCTTCTTGAATAATTTATTGTAAGGTTTACTATCCTTTTATTGGCATTAAGACATTATTTTTTTTCCATAAAGTGTCTTTCAGTCTTCAATCAGACACTTTCTACCTTCCTTAATGTAATTTCTGCTGAGGCATCCTGGGATTGAAGTTGACCTGATGTCAATGCTTCACTAAGGAAGATTCACAGAGGTTTAAAAGGCACAACGATGCATGTTGCTACAGGACATTAGCTGAGTAAATGTTTTATGTGGTTCAGTGTGTATTTGGTTGCTAAACCTCTTTATCTGAGTAACTGTTGTGACACTCGTGGGAAAAGCTCAATAGAATTATCTGTAGCGCTTCCTGTTTGAAACCTGACATCTCTTTTTTACTGAAGAGGAGAGTCGAAATAATTGGAGAGCTTTTAAACATAGGGTGTGAATGAAAAATTCAACAACAAAAAAAAAATCTGGTTAGCATATTACATACAGATCTGCTTTCAATAACAGCAGTAAAAGAGGTCCATAATGATGCTTAAATAACAGTTATAAAGACAATAGTGCTAATGGTGATAATGATACAAGTGCTAATGAGAAGTGTAATTTTAGTGAAGATAATGACCTCTTGTGTGTGGGTTGGTGTGTTTGTTTGTGCTGCAGGACAGCCCCTTCCTCTACTCTCACCGTTTAGCTGCATTTTTCTCCCTCTCATTTGCTTTTTCTCGCCTCCTTGTCTTTGCAGATCGACTTGGAGCCTGAGGGGAAGGTCTACGTGGTCATTGATCTGTCTGGATCCACGACTGAGGGTAAGATCACAGCAATGCCATGTTTTTACTGCTGCAAACAACGAAAGGGCTCACAAAACCTGTATTTTGAAAAGGGTTGAATCTCAAAACTGTGTTGGTTTGATTTGGGTGGAATTAAAGCAGCATTATAATCCCCACTTTATTCCATGTTAAAAATAAATTCCAGAAGAATTTGTTGTTTATGCTTTAAAATGTAGTTTAAATCATGTGCCACAAAGAATTATAAAAACAATGTGCTAATTAGTAAAAAAACCAAAAAGGTAAAATATCAGTGAAAATTTTCAGTCATGCAGGTCATGCTAAAAGTTTCCTCAGACTTCCAGAAAGTAGTTTAGTAAAGCATCTGTGCAATTTGGACGTGTGTGTGCTTCTTCCTACCTGGATGCCCTGTTCTACTGCCTTAGTTTCCTTTAAACACAATAAACATTATACACATATATATACAATAACTGCAGGCTAAAAAATTAAAATCTTTCCTCAGTTTCTTGGAAGTTGTGAGCCCTTCATCTTCTGAGTCATGCAAACTCCTCTCCAGCTGTTGGCCGACACCATTCATTTTTTCCCCATCAAGCTTCCCAGACACTAGCTCTCAGGGGATATTCACTATTCTAATTTATAAAGATTAGATGCAGCTTGGTCAGTTCATATGCTTCAAAAAAACTATTTATTTATCTTTTCCTTGACCAACTGTATTCTAATGAATGCGCTTCCGTACATTCTAATAGTTAAGTAACAAAAGAACAGACTGGTTTTTCAATGAGAAGAGACTTGGAAAAAACAGTTCCTAGAAATCTTTTCTCTATAAGTGTCATAAAAGGTCCTAAAAGGTTCTTTGTATAAATTGCCCCAAGACGAAAAGTTAATGTTATCCAAGTAAAGCAAAGCAATTGGAGTCTAAAACACTCAGGATCAAGGTCAATTATCTCTATATTGATTCGTTTTTGGAAACAATTTCAATTAGCTTAACAGTCTGACGAACTGATTAAAATGTTCAGATTACATAAATAAACAGCTCAGTATCTTCAGCATGGCAATCAATATTTATCCTGTTTGGTTTATTTTTATTATCAATTTCATCCTGCGAGGACACATTTTTATGTACATATTATTTTTCATTTATGTACAAGTAAATAATTCCTTGGCTTAATTTAGATTTAGATGCAGAATAGGTTATTCATCCCGAGAGGTGATTAGTTTTGCGAATCCACCTAGATAGCAGAGAGAGTTTGATCATAAAACCCAGAAAAACAAATAAAATACCATAGACATTACAGGTTATCTAATGGCCTCTGAAGTGAATGTCAGTTTAATGATGTGGATATTCTGTAACACACTATAAAAAAAGACATGTAGCTCTTATGTGATAACCTGTCCACTGTAGGAATAATAAAGCTGTCCGTAATCACAGGATCATAAAAGGTTAAATTCGATATTTCAATCACATTACCAGCTTATAGTTCAACTAGTCAGTGAATCGCTTTATTGCGCTTCTGACACCATTTTTATCAGCTATTATTTCGCTTGAAAGAAGAAACATATGCAAAAAAATCATATATATATTTATCTGTTATAAAAAATTGCAATAATGCATGTAATGTTTTTATAAAAATCTCCATCAACACAATTATTGGCACCTGTAGATGCAGCGACCAATCTTTTGACTTGACTTTTGATAATTGGACACCAGTCAGTCTTCTTTTTTTTTACAAGGTTGGAGCATTCACACTGATCTTTGACTATTTGCACAAACTCTGTAGAGTTTATTCCCTTGAGTTCAACCGATGATTGAAATGGCCATGGAAGAAGGTTGATTTTGTACGTAGCGAACCATCTCTGTTTTGACCTAGTTTTAGGAACATCATACACCTTTAGAGTACAGACCTTTATGTACTGTAAGAGATTTGAAGCTTCAACTTAGTCTATTATGACTAAATCCTGTAGTTGCAGCAAAAGATGCTGTAGCGTATTGGAAACTCTTCAAGTTATCTTTATGAAATGGAATTTTTTTTCTTCTTTCATGCTGCTTAAACGCTATTTTTTTCCAAGATGCTACTTTAGGTCTCAAAAACTTTTCCCTACCAAGATAAACCTCCTCTTACAGTAGACACAGGCAGGTTAAGGTGTGTATATTTTTGCCTTTTCTTTTTCGAATTTTGATGGTCAGCGCATGCCTGCCTCTTATTAATTTCATTTTCCCTTTCTGGTTTTATATAGTTGCATATAGAACCTAAAACTTTAAACCTTCATCTGTGATGAAGCCATAGGCAGCTTTGCCTTAGAAAAGGAGAAAATGATGCTAAATTTGAATGCATAGCTTGTTTTCGACGCCCCCAAGTGGTCGAATAGTACAAATTTAACATGATACTTTTTAGCCCCCTGCCTTAAAACTTGATGAAGGAAATGATTTTGCAAAGCCCTGCTCTCCTGAAAAGCTGCACGATTCCTAGATTCTTCCATATTATTCCCTCTGTTAATTTCTTTTCCATTCCCGTAAAGTAAACATGCAAACATCCAGAATTCCTCTCTGTCCACACAAATTCCCTCGGCCTCATGCCACCTGATAAGAGTGGGTTTCACCCGCACATGTGCATCCTTGCACCTAGTTATAAATAGAAGCGCTTCTCTGCTTTGCACTCAGCGTCTGTGTTTTTTTTTGTGTGATGGTGCTTGGATAACCCGAACAGAGTAGAGCGCAGCAGAGAGGCTCGGCAGATTGCTGCAGAGGATATCTCTCTGTTTAGAGGCGGACAAAGAGAGGGGACGAGAAAGTGAGCAGATTCTTAAAATAGTAGGTGATATTGAACCAGGGATTACCACACACACTGCAGAGGCAGCAGCAGACTCGGGCATCCATGTCTTGCCCTCCTCATAGATGATTGGCCACTCCGTGGTGACCTCACAACCCACTCTCCTCCCACTCCTGAACCTTCTCTCCTCAGTTCAGCAGGCTCAGAAGCTCATCATGTTAATGCATGCTGATGAAAACAAATGGTCTGTGTGTTAGGGAGTGTGTGTGTGTGTGTTGGTGGAAAGGATGGAAAGGAATAATGGTTGCAGAGACGGAGAGTGAGAAGTAGAGGAAGAGGTGGTATTTTTAGAAGATTTATTTTTTCCCCATGGTGCAATCTGTTCTCTGCAGTTTCAGAAAGTGGAAGGATATGTTTCTCTACTTTCTTCTTTTTTCCCCCTCCTCTCTCCACCCTGTTACAGCCGTTGTTCATACCTATAATATCACTTATATTCAGAATAGGGGCTACTTCTGCAGATTACTACAATTTAGCAAGAAAAACGTAATTGTTTGGAGTTATTCGTATCATGCTTATAGAAAGTCCAGATTTCACCTGGACTTTTTATCTCTCTGTGTTAGGGTATAATTATAGACTTAATATTTCTATTTGCGAAACTACAAAAACCTCTTTGTCCTGATCTTTTCAGTTACACTTTGATTTATGTCATTCTGTGTTTTCTACTTATTGGTGTCATTTTCCTTTAGTGTCATTTAAGTTCTTTACTAGTTATATTTAAGCCTTATTGTAGTCCCTTGTTATTCCCTGACCCCCCTTCCTGTTCACCTGCTCCCAATTAGTCTATTACTTTTTTCATTGTTCTGTTCTCCATATATACCCCTCCTCTGCAGTTACTCTTGGCTGGATTCTCTTCATTCCCTCCTGAAGTTTTGTTTTACACTCTGTTCTGTTTCCTGTGTTCCCTGGTTTGTTATTACTAGATCTATGCTTTAGTTGCCAACACCCTCACCATTAAATCTGCAAGAAACCATCTCTGCCTCCGTCCTGCATTTTGGGTCCCCTACAAATCTCCACTCAACTTGACAATCTCTTTTGTCTAATCAGGCGTGTATATGTAATTTTGGGCGGCTTTCTCACTGCCTGCTAAGATTTAAAAATTAGAGATTTTTTTTCTTCTAAGTAAACACATGCGTTGTCTTCAAATATCTGAAGCCTTTATTTAGATATTCAGTGATTATCAATGATTATCCTAAAAATCAATTAATTGGACAGAGCAATAAATTTTTTTCTTTTCTTTTTCATAAAATGTTTCCTTTTTGTTTAAAATATAGACATTTAGATGTAAAATTTATAATTGTGTCATTTTTACTATGTAAAGGCAGGAAGAAAAAGCAATAGCCTAAAAAATCTGCAGCAAGTACCGGTGATCAGATAGACAAATGTCAAAATGATCAGTTTCAGCTTAAAAAAACCTCTACTGATGGATCCCTACTGCTGACAATCAAATAATCCTCCAGCCCAATATATTGACAGTTTCAGCACAGGCAGCACTTTATGTGAATAATAAAGGCTTCGTTTCCATGTACATATTTTTCTTTTCCAAGGTTTTTTAGGACTTTTACAGTTGCTTCTTATTTTTCTTTAAAGATTTAAAAAGGATATTTTAAAAAAAGTGTTTTATATATTAAGATATCCTCTAAGCATCCATATTTTTCATTTTTCTGTTAATGTGTAGATTTTCTTTATTTTTTATTCTGTTGTAATGTTCGTTCCACAATAGAGACTCCTAATTCTTAAAAGGTTATTTTAGTTACACAGAATCAGAAGTACGCATGGACAACCAGCTTTTAGTTTTTATGCTCCACTAATCTGGAACAATCTTTAATGAAGCTGTAAAAGTTGCTTTAAATTGTTTGGTTATTGTGGCCTACCGTCCACTGTGCAATCTAAATATTACTAGAATTAATAAGTCAGTATGAAATTGCATTACAGTCATTTTCTTGCGCTCTCATCCCGTAACCAGGGAAAAGCAACAAGGGGTAATAATAACCAAAAGGCATTGAAAATGTTCTGGGGGTTTATTTTGCCTTTGCAAACGAAAGAAGTTTTATTAATGTAAAAAAGTATTTTAATGACTTATGATCCTGGTAAAAATATTATTTTGGATTTATTAGTCCAAATTAGGAGCCTTTGAGTTCCCTAATACATAAATATTATTTAGGGCCATAAATCCTCCCTAAACAGTTTTTTATT